CAGCACCAGGTCAGGCGAGAGCTCCTAGGGACAGAGAGAGGGTCAGGGCTGCCTGAGCACGCCCCATAGATTCTGCTGCACCCCCGGATCCGCCCTTCGCCGCCGGTACACTCACTCACCATGGCTGTTCGGTCCTCCCAGCCCTTGGCACGGTTGGAAGGGGCTTTGGCTTCTTTCCTATACGAGGGAAGTTGGTGTCCAGGCTCTGTGCGCAGAGCTATCCCATTTCTTGAGGACTCTGAGAATTTCTGTAACCTTGTTATTTCAACGTTTCTTCCTCTGACGAACGCTGGTTCCCTCCCCACCTCTTCCCACCAACCACCTCTCTTACTTCCCTTCCGGGCACTTTTGCAATGGCCAGGGACCATGACAGGAAGGATTCTGTTGGGCATCTAGAAGTTTAGCCCCAGCCAGTGGCAGGATGACTCATTCGTCCTCACTCTTCTTCCTGTGTGTTTGTGGAAGGGATGATCCCTAGCGCCAAAGGCCATGACTCTGACCCCCTGAGCCCACTACTGGGACCTCAGCCTCTGAAAGGGTTGTCGGTCCATCCTCTCCCACAGCCTTAACTATTATGGTCCACTAGCCTTCCAAGTCCATTCCCTTGAATGTGCACACGCATTCATCGTGGAGTTGAATTCCAACTCCCAGTGAACCTGTAGGACAGGATAGAACTGTCCCCTAGGGTTTCGGTAAAGAACAAGACTAGCACCATATTTTAACCAAAGACTCCTCATCTGGAGAGAAAAACACACAGACACATGATGTTTACAAGCTGAGGGAAGGACAGGAATGGGCTTTACTGACATTTCCAGATGGAACCAGAACCTATGGTGTCACTGACAAGCAGTGACAGGTGGGACTGATGCAGGTAAGACTCAACAATATAAACCCAGATGACAGAGCAATAAGTGCTCAGGCGCAAACCGAGCATGGGTGAAGACGGGTTGGTACCGCATATGCAGTGAGGTCCCCAGGAGTGACTGTGTGATTGAGGGGAAATGAATAGACAGACAGAGCCTGCAGGGTGCTCACCTTTCCAGAAGTCAGGAACAAGAAAAAAAGAGCGAATGTGTTCTCCGGCAGGCTTATACAGACTGAGGACGTGCAGGTGCTGCCAGTCACACACGTAACAAGGTGGGCAGTGTCTAAACCTTATGTCCCAGAGCTCATCGGAGGAGTAACCCAAGACCAGTATTGGGGTCAGGCAGAAGGGAGTCAACCTGCCTTTTGAGCAGGGAGAACAATAGAACTTGTTTGCTCTCAGAGATAGATAGCCTTTGGGGCATAGTGAGCAGCTACATGTTTGTAAGAGGCATCTTGAAAGTAGCACTATTATGCGGGGATATTGTGGGGATGAATTTTAGTCGGAAGAATGTGACTGGGAATCATCTCTTACTCACAAATGTGAAGGCCTTCCTCCACCAAAGGTGGCCTTCTAGACTCTTAGTTATGTGCGTAGAGATTTTGGCCACATGCATTCTCCTCCTGGTCCTCAGTTTCCCACAGGATGCCTTTGGGGGGGCTAGCCTCTTATAGCAGCAGTCAAGTTGAACATTGATACGAGAAGAACAGTCCGCAGCAACAGCCCATGCAAGGTTTACTTTTGAGTCTCTGCCCACCTCCGGGGAGGAGTCCAGGTGGCACAGTGGCTACATGTTGAGCTACGGGGACAGCAGTTCGAAACCACCAGTGACTCTGCAGGAGAAAGGTGAAGCTTTTACTCTCATAGGAGTTGTTGTTGTTAGGTGCCGTTGGGTTGGTTCTGACCCATAGCGACCCTACGTACCATAGAATGAAACACTGCCTGGTCCTGCACCATCCTCACAATTGTTCCCGTGCTTGAGTCTGCTGTTGCAGCCACTGTGTCAGTCCATCTCCTTGAAGATCTTCCTCTTCTTCGCTGCCCCTCTGCTTTACCAGGAGAAAGATGGGGCTTTCTACTCCTGTAAACATTTACAATCTTGGAAACCCAAACGGGCAGTTCTATAGTCCTTCTCCAGGAACTGGGCTCTAAAGAGTTCCCATCTTGGAAACCCACAGGGGAAGTTCTGCCCTGTCCTTTAGGGCCACTATGTGCTGTCAGTGATTTGATGGCAGTGAGTTTATTTGTTTGAGCTTTCCTACCACCTGATCGCTGTGGTGCAAACTAGACATTGAGATAAGAAAAGCAGTTAGCAGCAGCAACCCACCCGTCTCTGTCAGCCTCATGCTGAGCCTAGCCTCCAAGTTCCCTTCTCCAGCAGCACTGGCCCTGGTCTCCTCACTGTATCCTTTGGCCTGAGACCCAGGTACCTGTCATCACATGTTATACTAAGCCTTTGACCAGACCTCCAAACTATCTGCCTTTGCTTAGCCTTCTACCCACCTTTGCCTCTCATGTGAATTTGTACTTACTTTTATGGCAATGTGTGTGCCTTGTGTGCAATAGTTCCAGCAAAATCCTTTGGTTTATTGAGACAATTGCAAATGATTCTTGGCTTAGTAAGTTAATTCCTCCCCCAACCTGACATTATAGAAAGACACAACTGAGTGTGCCTGAAGGGTCATTGCTTCCAACGACTCCCTGTGCGTGCTCTCCACCATTGTGGAGGCTGTAAGTCTTGACGGAAGTGTGCAGACACATCTTTCTAATGCTGAGCAGCAGGGGGATTCCAACCCCCCATCTTTGAGCTCCAAGCCCAGTGCTTAACCACGGTGCCACTGCCTCAGATTTTTAACTAGCTTTCTTTCCCGTGAGATTTTAAACGTTCTCTACTGACGCTAAGGAGTAGAATTGGGCTAAAGAGAGGAAAATTCATCTGAAGTACAACTCCTTCACTCTCCCCCCACCCCCGCTTTCCTTCCTTGTTTCTTGGTTTAAGTAATAACTTTTTGGGAAGTACACATATTCAACAGAGACACGTTGCCAAGTACTTCCTTCCCTTACTATCACCATTTCTCATTCTGAAATGGGAAGCAGGATAGTTCTTTAAAGAAAAAAGACTTTTATTGATATAAAATTCACGTATCATACACTTCCATAATTAAGCCGCTTTTGAAAAGAGTTGTATAAACATCATCGCAATCAGTGCTAGGGCTCCCTCCCGGCTCCTGGATTCATTATTTGTTCCCCACTTCCCCTCACCCTCCTATCTGATCAGATGTGGCATTGATGATTGTCTTTATGCATCTACTCCTTCTGTGCTTCATAAACTGGGAAACCCACCAGAAACAATAAAAAACCAAACCAAACCAAAACAAAGAAAACATAATATAAAAGTAAAGAGTAAGAAAGAAAAGACCACCAGCAATCTTAAACTAAGCCTGTCGTGAAACAAGTGAGAAATGTTTTAAACCTAGAGCAAATTCAAGTTGGGTCAAGAGGGAGGTCAACTGATAGTTCCATCCACCCTAATCAAGTTTCCGACGATCTCTGTCAGATAGCAAAGCTGTTCTCCTCCCCCAACTGTGGCCAGAGGAGTTGTGGAAACAAGACATTTCTAACGCTAATTTCCTAGTTAAGCTATCCCCCTTGCTCAACACCCCCATTCTTGTATTCCCTGAAAGCCCACAGAAGTATGCTGATGGAGGATTCCTTATGACTCACCTGTTAGGCCAGGTTAAAAAAAAAGGTAAGTGTCCCGGAGGGTTACGTTAAGAGCCAGACTTTTACCATATCCCTCCCATTCCAGACCTACAGACTTCTGGGGAAAGAGCTGCATGAACATCTCTTGAATTGCTCCCCATGTGTCTAACGGGCATGACCTGATACTGGGAGCCATGCCCCATGGCCAGGTTAGGATATTTCTAATGACAAGCTGTGCATATAGGGACAATGATGCTAAATACATTTGTTCAGTCTGGTGTATAATCTGTTTTATCCCTGACTTTGTGAGATTTGAGCAAGTTCCTGGGTCTTAGATGTCTAGGCTCTCTCTTTGTAAAATGGCAGTGGGTTTGGTTTGAGTTTTCTTTGTAAAATGGAGATGATAATAATACTGTGCTTAGTAAAGTCTTCAGCACAGAGCCACAGCTATTGATGTTAGTGTTGTTACTTCCCATGACACCTGACCTGTTTTTGACTGGAGGGGAACCCCCGTGGCAGAGGCGAACTGCCCACAAACATTTCTAGGCTGTCATCTTTACAGAAGCAGATCCCCAGCTCCTCTGAACCACCAAACTGCCAAGCGCTTAACAGTTTACACCACCAGGCTTCCTGATATTGATGTTCGTGCTGATTGTTATTGTTCCTCCTGTTCCTCAGAGCCTTTGATTCTAGTGGGCTCAGACATTGGAAGCTTGGCCTCTTCAGCAAAGCCCATCACCTTCAGGAAGGCATTTTTGTTGTTTGTTTTAATTTTTATTGTGAATTAGGTGGGGATATGCATAGCAGATCATAATTTCGGGAAGGCGCTCTTTGGAGTTGGGACATTCCAGATTAAAAAGGACAATGATGTTTCTCCAAAGTGACCTCATGTTTTGATTCAAGAAACATCTATTACTACCAGCAATTAGGCTACTTGTTATGTGCCCTACTGAAATAAGGAACACAACGGAAGCAGGTACATGCACACCCATGTTCATCGCAAAACCATTCACATTGGTGGAAGAATGGATAAATGAACTTTGGTACATACACACGATGGAACACTATGCATCACTAACCAATAATGATGAAACTCTGAAATAACTCATAACATGGATGGATTCAGAGGACGTGATGCTGACTAAAGTTAACTAACCACAAAAAGACAAATATTATATATGAACACTTATTGAAAAAAATCAAGAAAAGGTTTCTACAAAAACAAACATCAAACCAGACTTTGATGGTTGCCAAGGTTGGAAGAGGAAAGGAAGGAAGGAGAAGTAACCGACTAGAGGCCCCACAGGTGCTAATTTGGGTGAAGGGGAAGATAATATCCTATATAAGGGACATGGGAGGTAGGGAGGCAGGCGGGACAGACAAAGCTTTGGGAGATTTGTTATGTTGTTAAGCTGTTGCAGGCAAAAATGACTACCTGCTATGTAATTCCCCACTTAATTCACAATTAGAAGTTAAAAACAAAACACTGAAACATCCATTGCCAGTTTACTAAGTTCCAGGCCTGATGCCAAGTCTTGGGATTCAGACATGACCAAGATACAGGCCGTCCAGTGCTCCCAGTCATTGGAGGAAGACAAACAGGTTACGGAATTACAGTTCTGAGGAAAGAAGCCTCCTACAGCAGGAAACTGGGCTCCTGGGGCCTCTGGAGGAAGGAACAGCTGCCCTTGTATGCGACAGGATATGGAGCCAGCTCCTTGCACTGTTACTAGTATTTTCAGGCCGAAAAAGTCAGAAAGATTGTTTGGACAGAGGTCACTGTCTAAGCTGACACTCTGTACAGAACATAGCCTTTGTTCGGAGGCTTCCCTTCCTCACTGGAAGCAAATTTGGGGTTTTACATGTCAACCTATCACACGAAAAAGCATACAAGCCAAAGGCCCCATCCTCAGCCTAGAGCATGATGGTTGCCCAGGGATGCATGGATGCTGGCCCTCGAGAGTAGCTGGGGAAGATAAGAGCATGGTCTGCAGCTGTTTTGGAACAGACTGTACATTTCATCCATTGACATCAATGTGTGGGTGGAGTTGGTTTCAAGAGAAGGAATTTGGTGTGAAGAACAATGCTCTCTCCCAAATTTGTTTTCACTCTTTTTTGGGTCTAAGTCAGTGGTTCTCAACCTTCCTAATGCTGCGACCCTTTCATACAGTTCCTCATGTTGTGGTGACCCCCAACCATAAAATTATTTTCATTGCTACTTAATAACTGTCATTTTGCTGCTGTTATGAATCGGGCAACCCCTGTGAAAGGGTCGTGACCCCTTTGGGCTTGAGGTTGAGAACTGCTGGTCTAAGTGCTCATTTTGTCAATATTATACGCCAATTGAAATTCATAAGTGCCATTAGGACTTAAGAACACATAGAAGAGCTATGGAGAAGGGGAAGAGGGGGAGACACATCAAAAGGTAAACCATAAGTAACAGATGTGGAAAGCATTTTGGAAGAGAAGTACAAGACGCTACAGACTTTCATAACAGGGACATTGGTCCTGAAGCTCTGAGCAGATGAACTGCAGTTGAGGTGTTAAATAAGGGAAGGAAACCAGGAGGGGACAGGAAAAATGTTCCTGGTATGTTGGAGACCGGGAGGCCTTGGGACAGCCCAGGTGCAGAGGGCGGCCAGCCGTGATGTGACCTCTAGGGCCCTTTATTCCGAGAACTATACGTTCCCCCACGTACCAGGAGACGTTCCGCCCCCACCCCGGCGCCAGACGCCCTAATCGTAAAAATTCCACAAGCTTGAGAAGCCTCTCCTCCCTGCACTCCCTTCCCCTCCCTGCACTCCCTTCCCCTCCCTGCACTCACTTCCTTATCTCCCCTGCCCCTTCACCTAGTTAAAAAGGCAAACGCTGTAACAATAAACTGAGACCTTGACACGAATTTGCTTGGTCTCGTTCTCCTTTCTCGCCCGTTTCTCTTACAGGCTGGGGTCTCCTCGTTCCCCCCACGAATAACTGAGTCCCGCGGGTCGGGGCACTGGTACACAGGGAACAGTCTGTGTGCAAGTCCCAGGGGTAAAAGGGCTGGGAGGGCTTGTATATGGAACAAAGAGAAGATTCCATGATAGGTCAAGTGAGGCCCGGTGCCTGTGAAGACAGGAGATAAATGTAGGGACTAGACACGCAAAGCCTAGTTGGGCTACAGTTTGGACTTTGGGTGTGAGGAACTTTTTTCTAAAATTCAGTAATCTCTCCTCTATGCTTAGTTGAATAGTAGTACTCAGCTGTCTGTGAAATAACTATTTGATCCTTAAACAAGCTAACAAATTTTTATGCAGGGCAATGAGATCGTTGCATTTGTTTAATTTTTCTCATCTGTGAAACAGGCATCATGTTCCTAGTCTCGAACTCTCAGTAAGGTAATACTGAACCTTCAGCCTTTGGGGCGTTGCCGGGCACTGCAGTCAGCGTTCAGTTGTAAGTTAACGGGGAAATCTCAGTACGGCCTGGTTGTTTGCTTTAAGTGTTCGTCAAGGCACTAGACTTTGTGGCGTGTTTGGGCCGAGGAGGAAGTTTTCCTGCTAAGTGAATGGTAACTAACCTAGGTCAGTTTGAGGTAAGGATGTTTATTTTCTTAGAATTGGGAAGTAGGGAAGCCAATCAGAGGCAGAGCGGGAGTGTCCGCAAGGTCGGCAGCTTTCCCCGTGCGCGCGGCGCTGGTCCAGTCCCCGCCCCACAGCGCTCCTGGAGCCCCGCCCCGTTCTGGCTCCGCCCCGCCCCACAGCGCTCCTGGAGCCCCGCCCCGTTCTGGCTGCGCTTCGCCCCGCCCCTTCCCTCCCGGCGGCTGCGAGGGCCACGCCATCTTCCAGCATCTTGGGCCCAGTTGCTGCGGCTCACTCAGCACCTGACTCCTCCAGCTCAGCTATGTGGAGGCGACAGCGGGGCCGTTTCAGGCCCGTAGGATGCGGGGTGGAAGAGCTACGGCGCTTCCGGCGGGAGCGGGAGTTAGGTGCGGGGGGGCAAGGGAGCCCCGGGGCTGGGGGGCGGGGTTTGACGGTCGAAAATGGGACGCGGAGGCGCCCTGGGTCGGACTCTTAGTCTGGGGGCCTGGCTTCTCTTATCCTCAGCGGGCTCCTCTACCCCCCAGCACTGCGGAAAGCGCGGAGGGACCAGCAGCTGGTCAGCAAGAGGCTGCTGAGAGCCGACCCCCCCAAGGAAGCCGGAAAGGTGGTCTCGATCCTTGGGGAAGCCGAGGTGAGAGGGCCAGGGCGGGGTTAGGGGCGCGTCGCGGTCCACGCCAGCTGGCACCAAGCTGAGACACTAGCTCCCCCTCCCGCAGTTCTAGAGAACTGCCCCAAACCTGAATTTGATCTAATGGGCCAAGCTGGGAGCCCTCATCGACACTCCCCTCCTTTCTCATTTCCATATAAACCGAGTCCCAACTTTTACTTAACGAGTTCTTACATGTCTCGCCTTCAAAGCTTGCATAATCATCCCTTCTCTGGATCCAACGGCAGCCTCCTCACAGGTTAACCGCATCTGCACTTTTGTGCTCCTGTCAGTCTTAGGAGCCTTATAAAAACACACATAAGCACCCAAATCCTTCCTGTGACCTGCAAAACCCAACATGATCTAGCCTTTACCTGTGAGGGTTACTCAGCTCAACCACACTGGCCTCTTTTTAGTTTCTGGAACAACGTTCCAGGGAGGCCCTTCTTTCCTGTCCCGTGGCCTTTGCATTTTTGACAACTAAAGTGGGTCCTTTGTGGAATTGGTGGCTTCTCTGTTTCTTACAGAATATGAGTCATATTATTCATGCATATTCTTGCCCCTCCAACTAGACTTTAAATCCACAATAAACTGCACTCTTTTTTGGTCCTTTGAAAACCCAGCAGCCTGTACAAGATCTAGCATATACAAGGGGATTTCAAAAGATTCGTGGAAGAATGGAAGTAAAAGATAATGGAGTTTTCCCACAAACTTTTAAGTCCCCTCATAGTAGATGCTCAATATTTATTAAATTAATCCAAAAAATTGGTTTTAGCAAGCACTGGATCCTCTGTGCCTCCATTTACATAGATAGCGTATGTAGTACTTAAGTCTAGGTTATTCCATTTGTGGGCTTTATGCCAAGATAGTGTACAGGGGCACTGAGAGAGAGATGAGAACATAGAGGCCCTTGAGGAAGGAGCTTACAGCCCAGATGTGATACTGTAATGGAAGGAAACTTCGGACACTAGAGACCCTAAGTTTTCCAGAGGAGTGGAAATCTGAAGTGAGTTTGGATCTGGGAACAGCCATCCAGGCAGAAGGACTAGTGCATGCAAAAGCTTGGAAACATGACCAAACAAGCCATGTTAGGCTACGCAGTGTAGGCCACAATGAGGAGAGGATGATGGTTAAGCCAGGCTAAAAGGTATAAATGGTATTCTTGAAATAACTCTGCATAAAGGTAGCAGGGTAAATACTTATTCCTGTTTTTCAGGAGAAGAAACAGGTTGAAATTTGTAAAGTAGCAGGGCTGGTATTAGAACTGGTTCTGATTCCATTCTGTGTGCTTCACTGCAAGATTGGTGCCAAGTAGCTATCTTAGTGGAAATGACAAGTTCTGGAGATGGTGTGATATCGGAGGACTCACAGGTGAAGTGGGTAGAGTGGGACTTGAGATTTAGTTCTTGGCTCCTGGGTGTCTTTCTTCCTCTGCCCTGGGCTCCAGATCCAGCAGTTCCTGCGGCTAGCCCAGCGGGGGACAGAGGAAAAAGAGAGGGAGAAGGCTCTGGCCAGTCTTCGACAGGGCTTGCAGCACTCTGAGACACAGCAGGCTTTCATCCGGTTAGTGTGGTGGCGTGATCGGTGGTTGAGGCTTGAGGAATGGACAGAAGGGGGGATGGGAGTGGGTGGGGTGGGGGTGTTGGTAGACAAGGGGTTGGGGAGGTAGGATGGGTCACAGGCTAAGCAGGGCTTTGGTGTTTACTCATGTAGGCTGGAGACTAGCATGCGGACTCTGGTTGGGCTCCTGACCAGCAACCAGGCCCTGCTGCAACTTGAGGCAGCTCGGTGCCTGCATGAGCTCTCTCATTCTGACCAGCCTGTAGTGGCTGAGGCCTGCCTGCCAGCCACCTCCTATCTCCTCACCTACCTTTCCAGTCACAGCTCAGACTTCACTGTAAGCCCCATCCCTTCCTACTTTGTTCTTGGCTTGGACTAAAAAGTGGTGCTTTGGGGTCTAGTTTAAGTTGACAAGTAGAAGAGAACCTGTGAATCTTGATGCCCACAGCCATGTCTATACCAGTCATCTCCCACCCTCTTGTGCCCAATGCCTCTACAGGCTTTCTCCACTGCCCTCTCCCCACCCCACCCTGGTATAATGGTCGGAGTCATGTAGTGAGCATTAGCAGTGAGGAAGACGGGCCATGCACAGTATTTCCCTTTCCCCCACTCTCAGGAGCTGTGTTTGTATACACTGGGTAACCTGATTGTGGCGAGTGAGGGTGTGAGAAGGCAACTCCTGCCACAGGGCATTGTCCCAGCCTTGGCTGCCTGCATCCAGGTGAGTACCTACCTTTCTCCCAGAGTCCCTCTCTCCCCTCACTCCTTTCCATATACCTCACCTGTTTTGATTAGGTAGCTCTAGCTTCTGCCCTGTGTAAAGGAGCTGAAAGTCTCAGATCTTAGGGCCTAGAGCAGTGGTTCTCAACCTGTGGGTCGCAACCCCTTTGGGGGGTAGAAAAACCCTTTCACAGGTGTCACCCAATTCATAACAGTAGTAAAATTATAGTTATGAAGTAGCAATGAAAATAATTTTATGGTTGGGGGTCACAACATGAACTGTATTAAAGGGTCACGGCATGAGGAAGGTTGAGAACCATCAGTCTACATTGCAGTCAGTGTCCTACCCACTCTGCTTTTAGTCCCCACATGTGGCTGTGCAGGAAGCCCTTGGATATGCCTTATCCCAGCTTCTGCAAGCCAAGGAAGCTCCAGAGAAGATAATCCCGTGAGTAAAATTATGTTTGAATTATGTTTGGGGGCCATCTTACTCAGTGTAGGTCCTGGGTGCCAGTTTCAGCCATTTCCAAAGTTGTGTACTTTGGTGCTGGCCGTGTTTGGCTGGGGAGAGCTTTGGATGTGGATACTCCCATCTGTTAATAGAGCAACTGGAATGTTGCCTTCTTGTGGTTCCTACTCATGGTTCTGCTTCTGCTGGCAGTGCCATTCTGGCCTCCACTCTTCCCCAGCACTTGCTACAACTGTTGCAACCAGGTCCAAAGCTGAACCCGGGGGTCGCTGTGGAGTTTGCATGGTGCCTTCACTACATCATCTGCAGGTAAGTCGAGTGAATTGGGAAATACCCAAGAACTTCCTGAGGCTTCCTCCCACGGTACTAGGGTTTTGAACTTCAGTTCCTGAACTGCTGTTTTCCCATCTGTGCTGCTCTCTTCTTGAGTCCGGGAGATACACACACACACACAGGTTGTTTACCAGCTTAACGATGGGATTAACTTCTTGATTCCTGTATATGTAGCCAGGTCAACAATGCCCTGCTCATTACCCTCGGAGCTCTGTCCACTCTGGGGCCGCTGCTGTTGGACTTGGCTGGGGCTGTAGAAAGAACTGAGGATGCAGGACTGGAGCTGGTAGGTGTCGAGGACAGATCTAAGGTCTGAGGGACCTTTCTTTCACACTACACCCCTCCTCTGTTGTACAGGTAGCCCAGTCTTTCTTATACCTAACCCCCAAATTGTCTTTGCAGCTAGCATGCCCTGTGCTGCGGTGTCTCAGCAACCTGCTAACAGAGGCAGCAGTGGAGGCAGTGGGCGGGCAAATACAACTTGGCGACGAGCGTGTTGTGGCAGCTTTATTTATCCTTCTGAAGTTCTTCCTCCAGAAACAGCCCAGCCTGCTTCCTGAGGGGCTGTGGCTCCTTAACAACCTCACTGGTATGAGCTCTCTCTGCCCAGGCCTGAATATTTAAACTAACGTGGGCATACTCCCCATGGCCTGAGCTGAATTGGCTAAGAGGGGGCAAGGGGCACAAGTCTGTCTGAGGACTTCATGACCATTTTTTTTCTTTCAGCAAATAGCCCTAGTTTCTGTACCTCTTTGCTCTCCTTGGATCTGATTGAGCCTCTCTTGCAGCTGTTGGCAGTATCCAACGTAGTGAGCGTGTTGGTAGGTATTGGGGTCACCAAGGGACTGGGTAGCCAAAGTGTAGTGGGAGCAGGCATGAGGCCTTATTAGCTGGAACTGGCAGGTGATGTGTGGTACGATGTCAGGACCAGACCAGTCTGGACACGAGTCCCTAGACTGTGGCTCACCGGTTCCAGGCATACCTCGGAGGCATTGCAGCTTTAGTTCCAGGCCACGGCAGAATCTCACAATAAAGCAAGTTACATGAGTTTTTTAGTTTCCCAATGCATATAAAGGTTATGTTGACACTATACTTAGTTTATTATGTGTGCAATAGCATTATGAAAGTCTGAAATACTGAGAACCTCCAAAATATGTCAGACATAAAGCAAGCACATGCTATTGGAAAAAATGGCACCGACAGGTTTCCTTAATGCAGGATTGTCTCAAATCTCCCATTTGTTAAAACAAAAACGCTGTATCTGCAAAGCACAATGAAATGAAATGATGCTTGTGCTAATGTTGGGCAAATCAACTTACTACCGTAAGTCTGTTTCCTTATTAGGGATAGTAATCCTGCCTCTGAGGGTACTTTTGGAGATTATAGAACATACATTTAAAAGTGCCTGGCAACAAGTATCTATAAGTTTAATGGTGATTTTTATAGGATGAAATAAAGAGCTCTTTATAAATAAATAAAAGTGCTTGACAAAACCAAATCAACAGTTCTCTGAAGGATGAGAATGTAAAGGGGCAGGGAAAGGATGAACAGAAATGAGGATGTTCATACATTGGGAAGAGTAACCAATGCCACTGAGTAATTGTATAAAATTTGTTGAATGGGAACCTAAACTGCTGTGCAACCTTTTCCCAAAACAATTATTTTTAACTTAAGTGCTTGGCACACTACCTGGCTCAGGGTCAGCAGATCATTGGTTTTCATTCTTTGTGTTTCTGTAGGTGCTCACAGTTCTGTGCAATGTTGCAGAGAAGGGTCCTGCTTACTGCCAGCAGCTGTGGCCAGGGCCCCTGCTCCCTTCCGTGCTGGCCATGCTGGCTGCCTCTGACACTGAAGTAGTGGGCCAGAGCTTGGAGCTGCTGCAGCTGCTGTTTCTTTATCAGCCAGAGGTAGGTTTCTTCTGGTTTGGGTCCCCAGTCCACCTGCTCTGAAGCCTCTGGTCTTACCATGGTAGAGATATTTCTTTGGACCTGGCTGGCTTATGTGGATTCTAGGCCAGAACCTTCATTCACCGTTTTAGGAAATGAACCCTCATCTAAGTGGTGGGCTTCATAGTTTGGCACTAATAGAAAGCTGTGGAAGTTGAGTCTTAGGGCAGAGACTCAGGCATGGAATACTTTTTTCTCCTGCCCCCAGGCAGCCCAGGCCTTCTTGCAGCAATCAGGATTGGAGGTTCTGGATAGACATAAGGAGGAAGCTCAGCTCCAGGACCGTGTGTTTGCTCTCCGGGAGACAGCTCTTCATGGGTGACTTTTTGATGCCACACAACCTGCTCGAGCTTCGCCAGCTTTTAGGGTCCAGTGGAGGTTCGGAACCATACGAGGACTCATGCTTTCTACTCCAACACCTAAACCAAGACCTTTGACTCCAAGCTCCTGTACTGTCCAAGCAGGAGGCCCAGAAGAACTCAGAATGGTCCATGTATTCCGGGACCCTATAATTTTCTTTTCATGTTTTAATAACTGATGACTTTTGATGGGACAGAATAAAGATTTATTTTTATATTACAATGTCTTGCCTCAATGATTGAACAGTAAGGGGTAGGGGAGTGAGGAAGAGGGCATTTTGAGACAGCATTTTACAGCACAAACTTCATAGAGAGCAGGGAAATGTGTCTTTCCATATTGTACTCAGTCCAGTAGAGCCCAGGCTTGGGCTGCAGCTCTTAACCCTCAGTCGAGGTTTCAGACTTGGCCGTGCAGCACGTTCTTCACAGCTCTGGTGACCTGGTCAGCACTGAGGTTGTTCAAGGAGACATTCTTCTCTTGGCCAAATGCTGAGGAGAGAGCGAGGTGACTAAATACTCTGCACTGTGGGGACTATGAAAGCACAGTTAAAAGGGAGGTTTTGAATAACCGATTTTGTGTGGATAGGAAAAGTACTAAAATACGACCAAGATGGACTTACAATGCCTAGAACTTACTCAGTAGGTCTCAAAGAAATCTAGGAGGCCTAGGTCCTGGGCCTAGGTTATCGAGGCTGACTGAGTGGCACTAATGGAAAGGCAGGCCTTTTTGTTAAGTTTTAGAGGGCACTCCCGACATTGTAAAGGAACCCACGTGGCACAGTGGTTACCCATTTGCCTGCTAACTGAAAGGTCAGTTGCTTCAGCCCAGCTGCAGCTCCTCCGGATACAGATTTGGCAGTTTTTGTAAAGAACACTCAGAAACAGCCTTGCAGCACCACTGTGTCCATGAAGTTGCTAAGAGTTGAAACTGACGTGAGGGCTATGAGTTGCTTTTTTGACAGGCATTTGTATTAACCACTGTGCCCAGTTCATTTCATTGGCTTAACCTTGTCTGGGTGTCTACTCTTTGGCTCCTAAAGCCCATCTAGCACAATACCTAACCCAATACACTAAAGTTACTTGTGACTGGCTCCCTTCTGGTCTACTGGCTCTTGGAGGAAGTTTGTTTTCCTCCTCAGACACACCTATTAGTGCAGATATCCACTGGTAGCTGAATGTATCTGCCCTGGGGGTGACTATCTCCTTGCTCCTACCTCAAATGTAGGATAGAGTTAAAAACTGTGATTAAGAATCCACTGTTCAATAAACAAAGACATCTCTCGGTATTTACAATGCACCAAGTACTGCACTGGTGGTAGATACAGAAGTAACCATGACAAACAACTTTGATGAATTGAAATGGGGTAATATGACTAAAAGGGGCTGGAGTTATGTTACTTGAAACCACAGGGGAAAATGGAATCAAAAGAAAGTGGATGTTTTTTCCCATGAACTTTTGGAAGCACCCTTGTATTAGGTCCAACTTGAGTAATAACAGAACCAACCAGAGACGGCTGGGAAAGGTGCACTCTATGGAGGGGGAAAAATGTGAAGGCTCAATTCTGTCATGTCTTAGCTGCAAAACCTTAACGTGTCTTCCTTCAAATTCTGTTCCAGTAAGTGCTCAGCACGGAATCACTGTTATAAAACATTGAGTCGCACACTATCTGGACCGCGGATTCCCACCACATCCTTTCCTCCCTGTCTGAGGCCCGTTTTGACAACAAAACTCAAAACCACAGCTCCCAGCCCATCTCCACATAGATGTTGCCACGGATACAAAGCATATGATAACTCTGAGAGCGAAACTTTGGGCTGCGACATTAACATCAAGGTCGAAGTCACAGTCCCTCTGATTTGGGGGCGCCTTTCTCCATCCCGTCCCTGCACCGGGGTCCCACGGGCTCACCGTAGCGGGCCCAGAGCTTGGCTTGTACATCGGAGCACTCGCGGATTAGGATGGGTAGGTCGGGATTCGTCTTCTTCAGCTCCACGTACTTCTTCTCGATGAAGTCCCTGCAAGGACGGGCGGTGGTGTGTGGGGCAGGCTTCCCCACCCCCGAGTAGAGGTCGTGACCCTGAGGTCCCCAAAGCCCGCCCGCCCGCTTGACCTCGCCGCCGCGCCTCACCTAACGCCCTGGCTACCCGGCGAGCGCTGACATAAGTGGATGCGAACCTCCCGAAGTGCCAGATTTGCCCCGACGCTTCGAGCAGCAGCGGCCGCCGCCATCTTCACACACACAGAAGCTCTTTGCCCCAGTCCCGCAGCTCGACCTTTGCGATAGGTTGGATGACGTAGGGGGCGGGGTAAAGGTCAGGTTTGCGATAGGTTGGATGACGTAGGGGGCGGGGAAAAGCATTCTGCTTCCATGTCATTGGCTAACCTTTGCCCCGCCCCCTACGTCACCCATCCAACCCAAACTCACTGCCGCGCGTCAATGCTGTTTCGTAGCGACCCCCTGTGGCTTTCCGAAGCCGTTTACGTGGAGAAAGCCCACTCCTTTTCCAGAGCACGAGTTGGCTCTTCCAATTTCTCTAGGAGCTGGCGGGTTGCTATAGCGATGACGCGTGGAAACGGCTGACGGCTGAAAGCGGAAGGACCACGGAACGCAAAGCACTATGGGTTGACTTCAGAGGTGTATTGTGGGAAGAATCTGTCGGGCTGGCTTGTTGTTAACCACTCGGTCCTGGCTGGCGTTGAAACTCCGCGGACAAGATGCCGGAGCGAGACAGTAAGGCTCGTGTTGTCTTGCCGCTCTCCCTTGCAGGGCTCGGGTCGCTTGGCGCGTTGTTTAACTTTATGGGCGTTGTTCGTCGGGATGGGTGACGCTCGGAGTCCACACAGTGGGGCCCGGAATGAAGCCGCAAGGCTTCACACCCTGTCCGCCCCGAGCTTGCTTCCTCGCCCTTAGTGTGGACAGGATCCCACCAGTCACTTCAACCTGGATTGCTCATATTCATTTCGCATATAGTGCTTTCGATATGATATTCTTGCACTCTGGTGATTTAGGGCCCCCACTGCGCTCCCACGAGGAACCTTGGGGTGCAATGAGTTACTATTTAAGTCTGCTCACTACGAGGTCAGCAGGTCAAAATCACCAGCTGCTCCAGGGGAGAAAGATGAGGCTTTCTACTCCCGTGAAGAGTTATAGTCCTGGAAACCCACAGGGGGCACTTCTACCCTGTCTATACGGTCGCTAGGAGTTGGAATCGACTCGATGGTAGTGAGTTTTTAAGTACTGTGCACCCAGAGCCCCGTGTATTTTCTCTTCTCGACACATCGTATTGCCATTGTTGTGATTCTTGCCTCACTATGTTGTATGCAATTTGAGAACAGGAAACATGACTATACTGTTTACTTAATAGTGCGTTGCCGATACATAGAGGCTCACAAAATTAATGCAATTCTTTTTTGCTAGGTGAACCGTTCTCCAACCCTTTGGCTCCAGATGGCCACGATGTGGATGATCCTCACTCCTTCCACCAGTGAGTGTCTTGTAGGGTCAGAGCATGAGCCTGGACATGGAGGGGTGGTGGTGATAACGGAAGGATTTTGAATGTTTATTCATCAGGATGGCCAGAAAACACCACTTGGCACATTGGTTTTGTGAACTTTAACTAGATGTGACCAACTGTATATAGAATTATTGAGGGGGAATTTGACAGGAAGGATTTGATTTTTTTTTTAAGGTGCTTTAGCTATATGCATCACTTTGCTGCATTTTCACCTAGAGATTTCTGCATGGCACTATTTATACTGGTGCATAGTCTTACACAGTACAACTCTTAGATAGTCCCATGTTTTCCTGAATTCATACAAATTCTACCATGAATTTTTGCCATAGCCATGTACTACTTGTTCTTTTTTATTGATTTCCTTTTAAAAAACTTAAATGCATTTATTTAAGTTGGAAGCTTAATGTCTCAACTATAAACAGAAGATAAGTAGAAACCGCCCAAGAAAAAGCGAGACCATTCAACACAAAATGACATTTCTCAAGGCTAAGTTAAGAAATAAATAAAATTTCCCGGTGATAGGTCGGTGCTAATTTGATCTTTAGGAAGGAAGTCTTTGCAGGTTTAGTAGCAGGGCAACCTCAATATACAGATGAGCTAGCATTGTTTGCTGAAAGTAAAGAAGCTTGACGTGCTTCCTGATGAAGATCAAAGACTAGAGCCTCCACTACGGATGGCACTTCAACAGCAAGAGGAAAAAAAACCAAAAACAATTGCCAATAAGTAACTTCATGATAAATACAGAAAAGATTAAAGTTGTCAACGATTTTGTTTTACTTTAATCCTAAATCAACACCCATGGACGCAACAGTCAAGAAATTGATCCATGTGTTGCCTTAGGCAAATCGGTTACAAATGACCTCTTTAAAGTGTTAAAAGGGCAAAGACTTAAGGTGCGATGTACTAGGCCATTTTATATGCATGTGAAAACTGGACGATGACTAAGGAAGAGTGAAGACGAATTGATGCATTCGAATGATGGTGTTGGCCAAGAAAGATGAATATACTATGAGCTCCCAGAAGAAAGAACAAATCTGTGTTGGAAGTACAGCTAGAATGTCCCTTTGAAGAAAGGATGTTGAGACTTCCTCTTGCTTACTTTGAGCATGTAATCAGAAGGGACTCGACCCTGGAGAAGGACAGCAGAAGGTCAGTGGAAAAGAGAAAGACCTTGATTGAGATGGTTTGACACAGTGGCTGCAACAATTGTGAGGACGGTGCAGGACTGAGGAATACTTCTGTCAATTTATGATATCCCACAACATTTTGAATGCTTGCCTTTGGCTTCCTGATGAAGGTCTTGAAACATATCCTTGCATAAAAGCCAAATCGAGTTACATTCTGGATTTAGGGATTGAGTGGATTTAGGGAGAGAAAGATGCCCTCTGGCAAAGAGAAACAACCAAGGAAGCAGCACCAACTTGGTTTTTGTTTTTGATCTATTGTGAAGGATTAGTAGATAATTCCAAAGGATATGTTTCTCATTGGGGGGATTAGTTTTATTAATAAACCCCCCAAGGTCAGCAGTTCGAAGCCACCAGGCACTTTTCAGAGGAAAGATGAGACTTCCTCCCCTAAAGAAACCCACAGGGGCAGTTCTACTGTGCTATACAGGATAGCTATGAGTCATATTTGACTGGATGGCAGTGTGCTTTTTGGTATGTGTGTGCCAATTAAAATAATTGCTTGTATCACCAATGCTACTTCTCTCACAGTTGGGATACACTATTACAATGTTTTTAATTATTCACCAGTTATTGAGCACTTACATTGTTCCCAAATTTTTTTTCTGAGAGGAATTTAATCTCCTTTACAAGCGGTCTTAGTGTTTGTTGTAGGGTCTGCATGACTTCTTTGACTTGACTGATAACAATAGAAAAACCTTATTTTCAGACACTATCCATGAGTTTGGGAGTTCTGAGTTCCACATAGGTTTTTAAGGGACAAATTTCTATCCTTAACACAGGCTTACATGTATACACCTATCTACATATACATAATATATATATTTTACCCATGATAGTAATTGGCCAGGCTAAATACAAGGGCCTTTTTTTGGAGATTGCCAAGGGAGGGAATGCAAAACGGGGAAGAAAAAGCAATGGACTAGACTGTTGATGTGAACTTGGGTGAAATGGAAGTTAGTCCACAAGAGGGAGAAGAGAAATCAAGGAAAGGGGAAAGGGTAAATTTGAAGAGTTTGATTAGGAGTTAAAATTGATGAATACTCCCACAACCAT